TTAAGTAATTATTTATGTGAATTATTCATGTGAACTAGACATTTATTTATATGGACTGTTAACTTACCTATGTTAATTGTAGCTGTAAACTTATGTGTTAGTGAATCAACTTTAATATTACCACAATTGAGTCCCATTGAGTCATTACTATGTAAAATGCTCTAAGTTGAAATCATTTGTTATGCCGATTGACTTTTTGAATAACTGTTAAGTGGATACTGTCCTGGGCTTCTGCCTGTTGTATCCCAAATATATAAATAAATAAATAAATATATCTGAATATACAGCGTGTCTCGGTTTAAACGGCCCCCCTCTATATCTCAGTTATTAGTCATACAATTCCAACCAAAGGACCCCGGACTTTCCTTAGGGAAAATGGCTTTCGGTTAAATTCCCTGAATTTTTGGTATGATGTAGATTTTGACTCTCTAAGCAAAAGTGTCCATGAGCACAAAGAAATCGGCTGACTAGTTTTCGAGATACAGGGTGTCAAAGATGAAAAGTGAAGCTTTCTGCTCAAATTTCAACAACTCCGAGAATTCACAAAACGCCCATTTATTCATGGAATAACATGCCTGAATGATGGTACAATCTTATCTGGATCTCGTATCCATTATAATGTTAAGTTTTGGGCTCTGCAACAGGGTGAACAAAGAAAAATCCAATTCGATTAATTTTAAACCATGAGACCTTATGAGAATTAAAGATCCAAGTGAGCCTGAACGAACTTCCTCATTCTCGATCGAAGTTTACTGATTTTTTTTATATACAGGATGGTTCGAAAATAGGGGTACGCCAATCCCTAGTTTTTTTAATCGGAAAGGGGAGAGCATGTCATATATATCAGACATTCTTTAATGTTGAGAACGTCGCATACTCATACTCATATTTACACATGGGGGTTTCAAACCATGAAGAATAATAATATGAGGTTAGATTTCCTGTACAAAAAATGCCTAATATGATTTTATGAAAAATCCCCTTTTTATTTCAATAAAAACGCACGGCACTGTCCAAAATAATGTTCATCTCTGTAAAACTGATCATATTGATGGTAATCCATACCACACCAAAGGACCCCGCACATTTAGTACGTAAAATGGCTTTCGGCTAAATTTCCTGAAAATTTGATATGTTTAAGATATTATCGTCCTTATTACACAGTCCAATTTACAGATCGATCCTATGACCAGTTTTCGAGCTATACAGGGTGTCAAACATTAGATTTTGGCTGTTTAGAATATTTTGCATCAATTTGAATTATGTGCTCTGAGTCGTGATTGATCTTCAGTAGAAATGAACTCTTCACGTCTAATATCTACCTCATGAATCCCTCTATTCGGTTAGATGATAATATTACATACAGAGTATTGCATTCCATCATGACAAGGTAATATTCTTGGGAAAAGACAAATATTGAAAACATCAGAATTTTGACTTTTACTCAGTCACCGAGAACTCGAAAACAAACGGCTAGAATCGGCCAATTATTTGACACAGTATAAGTCTTGATCATCAACATGAGGATTCATATGATTACCTCTGATACCATGTCCAATTGACCATATATAGGGTGATGACAATTTGAAAGCTTATAGAATTGATTTAACTCATGTTCAAAATGAGATACATATCACGAATGGTTCCTATAATATATGAAATGGAAAATGAAATGTCTCATGAAATAACCCACCCTCACTAGCCCCTGAGTCACAACCACCCCAACGCATATCATCTCAATGGTAGCCCCAACTTGTGATACCTCATTGAATAGCTTGGTGAAAATACATTCCAGTGGTATTATTATTGATATCTCGAACTGGGTGAACTAACAAAAAATATGTATTACCTATATCATTCTGCTGGGGTGACGTATTAATTTTATAACTTTTGAAAAATAAATCTTTAATATCGAGCACTCTAGAGACATATTGCTGAAATAGTTATATTCAGATGATTTGAAACAAGTATTTGTGTACAGTAGATCGGTGTAGCGAGAGAACACGGCGATGAACAGAATGTTTAGTCCAGGTAAGTATAGTTAATCCAAAAACAATTGCAGAATCTCGTGCTCTGCACCTGCAGTCACTTCAAAGGAAACTTCAAACACGCCGACGCCGCACAGTGCGGGATATTCTGCAATTGATATTGGATATACTTTACCTAAATGATTATGTTTTCATAAGATCAAAATTATGTTGAACAATTTGACTGGATTGAATGGAGCTGTGTCCTTACCGTCTGACCAGCTCAGGTTTGGTTAGGTTAGGTTAGGTTACTAGAACATTCTGTAGATTTTAGTTTTCTCTCGCTTCACTAGCCAACTGTTCACATAAGCAATTTCACTTTTATGGTTATTTATATAATGCTCGATAATAACGATTTTTTCCCATACTACAAAAAGTTACGGAATTAATACGTCACCCCAGCAGAATGATATAGGTGATGAATATTTTTTATTAGTTCACCCAGTTCGAGATATGAATAATACCACTGAAATGAATTTTCACCAAGCTATTCAATGAGGTATCACAATATAGGGGCTACTTTTGAGATGATATGCGTTGGGGTGGTTGTGACTCATCAGGGGCTTGGTGGGGGTGGGTTATTTCATGAGACATTTCATTTTCCACTTCATATATTATATATAGAAATGTATCTCATTTTGTACCTGAGTTACATCAATTCTATAAGCTTTCAAATTGTCATCACCCTATATATGGCCAACCGGACATGGTATCAGAGGTAATCATATGAATCCTCATGTTCATAATCAAGACTCATACTGTGTCACATAATTGGCCGATTCTAGCCGTTTGTTTCCAAGTTTTCAGTGATTGAGTAAAAATCAAAATTCTGATGTTTTCAATATTTGTCTTTTCCCAAGAATATTACCTTGTCATGATGGAATGCAATACTCTGTATGTGATATTATCCTCTAACCGAATAGAGGGATTCATGAGGTAGATATTAGACGTGAAGAGTTCATTCCTACTGAAGAATAATCACGACTTAGAGCACATAATTCAAATTGATGCAAAATATTCTAAACAGCCAAAATCTAATGTTTGACACCCTGTAGCTCGAAAACTGGTCATTGGATCGATCTGTAAATTGGACTGTGTGATAAGGACGATAATGTCTTAAACATATCGAATTTTCAGAAAATTTAGCCGAAAGCCATTTTACGTACTAAATGTGCGGGGTCCTTTGGTTGGAATCGCATGACTAATAACTGAGATATAGAGGGGGGGGCGTTTAAAGTGAGACAGGCTGTATAAAAATGGATGGACCGATTTCACTGATTCTTATATGTTGGGTTTGTTGAGCATTCAGGAACTGAAAAAGAATTGGAAATCGGTTAAATCAATCAAAAGTAATGATGATTCAAATTTGATCGAAAAAATGCGATTTTACGTTTCATGTGTTGAGCAGTTTATATAAAAATGAATCTAGTTTTTTTCATCTCTTGGTCACACCATCAAGCGTGAAGGGCTAGACCGATTTCACTAATTCTTATTATGTTGTGTTTTTTGAGCATTCAGAAACTGAAAGAGAATTTGAAATCGGTTAGTTAAGGCAATAAAAAGTATATTGATTGATCGAAAAAATGCGATTTTACGTTTCATGTGTTGGGCAGTTTATATAAAAATAAATCTAGTTTTTTTCATATCTTGGTCACACCACCAAGCGTGAACGGCTGGACCGATTTCACTAATTCTTATTATGTTGTGTTTGTTATTGTCAGGAGAAGGTTCTTAGACTTCTTAAGAAAGAAATATCAAGAAAACCGCGCGGAAAATTAAAAAAATTAAGAATACCTAATCTCTCATATTAAAAATTCTCATGTCATGGTGTTCCCAAACTCCTCTGAAACAGCTTGACCTATTCATTGAAAATTCAAGATGGCGGATCCAATACGGCGGAGTTTTGTAATTAGAAAAACAAACTCAAAGTCAAATAGTTTGTTTCTTTTCTCCTTTTGAAAAATACTGGACCACTTTGAGAATGAATGGTTTCCATGACTTAATTATGATCAGATTCTATTCATCTGGAGGTTTTCGGGGTCGGAGATTTCGTCAAAATTTGGAAATTCAAGACGAGGAATCCATTAAAAGGCAGACGAGTTTTGTAATTATGGACCGATTCGCATCAAAATTGATACCTGGGGGTTTTCGGGGTCGGGGATTATTATTCTTTCATCAAAATTTGAAAACTCAAGATTGGAGATCCGATATGGCGGACGAGTTTTGGAATTATGATCCGATATGGCGGACGAGTTTTGATGCTATTCAAAATGATTCTTTCATCAAAATTTGGAAATTCAAAATGGCAGATTCAAGATGGCAGATCCAATATGGCGAACGAGTTTTGTAATTATGATATCCGATTCTATTCAAAATTGGTGTTTAGGGGTTTTCGCCAGTTTTGGGGGTCGGAGATTATCGAGTTATGATTCCTTCGACAAAATTAAGAAATTCAAGATGGCGGATCCAATATGGCGGACGAGTTTTGTAATTATGAACCGATTCTATTCAAAATTGGTATCTGGGTGTTTTTGTGTTTGAAAATACTGTTTCTTTCATAAAAATTAGGAAATTCAAGATGACGGATCCAATATGGCGTACGAGTTTTGTAATTATGATCCGATTCAATTCAAAATTGGCATCTGGTGGTTTTCAGTAGGAAATTTTTTTGTCAAAAATTGGGAATCCAATATGGCAAACTATGACCATTGTAATAAATAGTAGAAAAACTAAAGAAACATGCTTTTATAGATAGCCAAATTATAAGGAAGTAGAAAATGAATAGAAGAGTACAGATTTGAAGAGGTAGATTGCAGAACTAAAAAGAAGTAGAAAATAAAATAATAAAAGTGTGTTGATGAATATTCAACTAAGTATATATTTCCTATAAATAATGTATATAGCAATATATAATGTTTACTGGGTCAGCTAGTAATGAAAATAAAATTCTGTGAGCTTTGGGACTAGACTTACTCAGGAGTGATACTGGTTCCATCTTCTTCATGCAGCTCAGGAAGTCTTTCTAATCCCAAGCATTCCCTCCTGAGCCTGTCAATCTCACTTTTGAGGGGCACATATTCTTCATGGAGGCGAACTGCAGAAGACATAGACCTGGTTCTGCTTTCATCTGCCTGTTTTATGACACCTTCCATCTAAAATAATAACTCTTTATGAACATGACTAATTAAGTCTGAAGTGATACAGCAAAAACTTTTCAAAGAAAAAAGTATACATAGTAGAATACTTACTGCATTGATGTCTGCATGAATTTGTCGCAGTTCTTCCACATGAGACATTTTCTCTTGCAGAAGCAAATCCATTTCTTGCTTGTACTCTGACAAGCATTTTTCTTCTTGATCTTGAGCTTCTACTTCATAAATTAATCGGGCTTTGAGCTTCTCCAACTGAATTGTTTTTGCTCTAGAATATTGATTTTTTCCATTCAGGTGGATATGTTTCAGATTTTCACATGAAGAATGGTACTAACCTTATCTCTTTGAGGGCTTCTAGTTTGGCGAACACGGCTTGCTCGTCTATCGATGTCATATTTTGTAACTATATAGATAGCAGAACAAATAAATATCAAATATTATAATGAAATTTATTATAAAAAGTAGAACAAGGGAGAACGCACCACCAAAGTCAACGAACCCCTCACCGACAAACCCCAAAATTTTGTATGGGATTAATATGGATACTGTTGGATACTGTTCGGAGGGATATACTCAAGTCTAAACGACTCAACAGTCAACACTCAATTATCAAATAACTCAATTCAACAATTCACTCTCAAGAGTCTCAAGATGTCTCAACACTCAAGTACTGAGTACTCAAGTCTTGACTCTAATAATAATAATAAATAAACAGTGACAGCTGTGAATGCTTTTTGGACCAATCAAAAAGATTTAAGCTATGGCGGCAAATTCGAATCTGTATCCTTTTCTACGTTGCACAAAATGGCAACCAACATAATATAGATATTGTTATTGAATATCATATTGTATATATTTTTGGGTGCAAATCACCATGTATTTTCGTTAGACAGTTGTCAATAATAAAATAAAAGTCAAATAAAGTGTATTGTCTTGTCGCTGGAAATACTTATAAAAAAGGGTAATAAAACCACCTTCAAACGGAAGTCAACTACAGACAAATACATAAGTGGTCCTTCGAGTTATCTACATAAAAATCAGTCCGTGGAAGATGTCCAGGTCTCTACCATTAAGAAGGAGTGAAAGGACAACAAAGGGAAAAATACCAGCTAGGTATATGACGGAAAGTGAAGTTGCCATAGAGAATGTGACAGAAAAAAATCCTTTATGTAAAAAACAGGATGAAAAACTTACGAAAAAGTTAACTGAAACAGATTCGAAAATGGGTCAATCTGAACGAAATACGCATTCCATATCAACAAACAAGTCTAAAAAGAGTACTATTAGGCGAAAACAGTTGGAACTAGAGGTAGAAAAAGCAAAGAAAATAGCTGAGATCGACAAAAACATAATTGAAAAGGAAATTGCATTGAAAAAGGCAGAGTTAGAAGAACAATACCAATCCAGCAAGGGTTCTTCTATCGACGATAAGGAAACTGAAGAAGATATCGAAACCGTTACTTCCAAGTCTTCTTACATACAACAGTGGGTGAACTCAGTACATCCTGAGGCGAATGTTTCATCTGCAGTGGATATAAAAAATATTGATCCTGTGTTGAATCGTGATATAAATACACTCTCAGAGTTGAAAATAAATCAATTTATGGCTAGGCAATCTTTCAACAAAGATCTTCCAGTGTTTAATGGAGAGTCTGGAGAGTGGATGACCTTCATCACGCAATTCAAGGAGTCAACGAAAATTTGTGGTTTTTCTAATACAGAAAATATTATCCGCCTGCAGAAAAGCTTGAAAGGTAAAGCCAAAGAGTCAGTGAATGCCCTACTAAGCTTCACCCAAGAAGTTGACAAAATAATTGAGACATTGGAAAAAAGATTCGGTAGATCGGAGACGATCATTCAAGATTTGATTGACGCGGCTCTAAAGATTCCCAGCTTAAAAGAAGATAAAATAGAAAACATTCTAGATTTCTCAAATAAAGTACAAAATGTAGCAGTCACCATCAACAGTTTGAAAGGTGAAGAATATCTTTGTAATCCTCAACTTCTAAATGATCTAACCAAGAAGCTGACTACAACATTGAAAATAGAATGGGGTAAAAGAATCGTTGAAAGAAAAAGATGCAATAAGAAAGAAAATCCAGTCAATATTCTAGAATTCTCGCAATGGTTAGAAGAAATCAGTGAAGCTGCTATGTACGCCTATATCCCTGACCAAGAACAAGAACGAAAGAAGAAATATGTATGCACTACATCTCTGCAAAATGAAAAAATAGTATACAAATGTAAATTCTGCAAAAAAGATGGCCATAAAGTAGAAAAATGCAATGACTTTAAAAAACTGGATATTGAAAACCGTTGGGATTGGGTTAGACAAAACAAAGTTTGTTTCAGCTGTTTAACTTCTTCACATCAAACAAAGCTATGTCGTCAAAAGGGAAATTGTGGAATCAATGGTTGTATTTTCAAACATAACCCTTTGTTACACAAAGAAAATACCAGCAATGAAGCAGAACAAACAAATCACTGTGTCAACGGCTGTGAAATAAATGAGGTTCTATTGAGAATTGCACCAGTTGAAGTGAGTGGTCCAAATGGAAAATTGAAAACTTATGCCCTATTCGATGAAGCCTCCACAGTCACCATGATGGATGCCACGTTGGCTGAAAAAATCGGAGCGGTGGGACCTACTGAACCACTCAGAATTCGTTGGACGAATTCAATGACCTGTCAAGAAGAAGATTCCAGAAAAGTTTCCATTAAAATACGAGGCGAGAATGAAAATGAAGAATATGTCATGAACAATGTGAGAACAGTTGAAAATTTGTCTCTTCCTGTACAGTCAGTTGATGTTAAAAGTTTAAAGAAGAAATGGGATCATTTGAAACAAATCAACCTGCCATCATTTAATGCTGCTAAACCATCGATTCTAATTGGCCAAGATCATATAAATTTGATTATACCCAGAGAAGTTTTCGAAGGCGGTAAAAATGCACCTGTATTATCAAAATCGAAATTAGGCTGGGTAATACATGGTAGCATCTGTACAAATTATAATGGGCGTTCTGATGAAGAGTTTTCTCTATTTGTGAAACACGAACGTGATGATTTGGATGAACTCGTCAGAAATTCTTTCAAAATCGAAAATCTAGGTGTGAAACATTATGAAAATTTACAAAATTCAGAAGATCGCCAAGCGCTCGAAATTTTGGACCGTACAACAAGAAGAATCAATCCAAAAAGATGGGAATCTGGTTTATTGTGGAAAAACGAAGATTTGTGCTTAACTGACAGCAAAACAACGGCCATGAAGAGGCTCAAGTCAATCGAGAAGAAAATGGATATGAATCCTCAGTTTGCTGAAGAGTATGAAAAGAAAATATCGGAATATTTGACTAAGGGATACGCCAAAAAATTGGCCAAAGACGAGATTTGTACAAAAAAAGAAAAAATATGGTATTTGCCACATTTTGCTGTATCGAATCCTAATAAGCCGGGAAAAATACGGTTTGTTTTCGACGCAGCAGCTAAAACCTGTGGAAAAAGCTTGAATGATTATCTCTTGAAAGGTCCAGACTTATTGAACTCTTTACTGGGTGTTATCTTCAAATTCAGACAGAGACGTATAGCCTTCACTGCAGACATCATGGAAATGTTCCATCAAATCCATATCAGACCCCAAGACAGACCAGCTCAGCGATTCTTGTGGAGGGGTAGAGAGAGATGCAGCGAGCCGCAAGAATTTGAAATGGTTGCCATGATATTCGGTGCCTCTTCATCGCCATGCACTGCAACCTTTGTGATGAGGAGAAACGCAGCTGAATTTATAGATACTTTCCCAGGGGCAGAGAGAGCTATAAGAGAACATCACTACGTTGACGACTACCTTGACAGCGTAGACACTATAGAAGAAGCCAAACTGTTAGTCTCGTCAGTCATCGAAGTTCATGGAAAAGGAGGCTTCACAATTCGAAACTGGTCCAGCAACAGCAAAGAAGTACTGCGTAGTATCCCTGAAGAATATAGAAATCTTGGCGCAAAAGAGATGGATTTCGGAAAAGATTCATGTTTACCCATAGAAAAAGTATTGGGATTATTTTGGAACCCTAATGATGACAATTTTTCTTTTGCTATTAAATGGAGTGAACATGATCTACGACATTTTTCTGGAAAAAGTCATGTAACAAAACGAGAAGTGCTCAGAATTGTAATGACTATTTTTGATCCTTTTGGATTTTTAAACAATTTCACTGTGAAAGCAAGGATTCTGCTTCAGACCATATGGCGTTCTAAGATCGGTTGGGATGATGAACTCAATGAAGAAATGATGAAAAAGTGGAGGAAATGGGTTAGACAAATTGAAAATATTTCTAATCTATCGATTCCTCGCTGTTATCTCGCAAATATTTTTGAAATCAAAAGTATACAATTGCACGTGTTTTGTGATGCAAGTTCTCAAGCGTATGCGGCTGTAGCTTACTTGAGAATTGAGACCGAAAAATCAGTGCGCATATGTTTTGTCATGTCAAAATCGAGAGTAGCCCCATTGAAGCCAGTATCAATTCCACGACTTGAACTTCAGGCAGCAGTTCTCGGATGCAGACTATCTACGACCATCAGAGAAAATCACAGCATCAAGATAGATGAGAGTTACTTTTGGAGTGATTCTAAAACGGTCATCAATTGGATAGGACGGGATCCTGCAGTATTTCAACCATTTGTTGCTCACAGGGTGGCAGAAATACAGGAAAAATCTGATACAAAATTCTGGAAATGGGTGTCTACAAAAGAAAACGTCGCTGATGAAGCTACTCGAGATGATACTATAAATGAATGGCACTCAAGTAGTAGGTGGTTGAGTGGACCTGATTTCTTGATGTTCAGTAAAGATAAATGGCCAGAATCTGTGATTGTTGAACTCGATGAATCATCAGAAATGAAAAAGAAATTTGTTGGATTCACGATGGAAAATGCTTCAAATTTGGGAGAGTCATTACCAGATGCTTTTAGATTTTCATCTTGGCTGAGGTTACTCCGTTCAACCGCCTGGGCTTTAAGATTCATTGATATTATGCAAAGAAGAATTCAACATTCTGGGGAACTTCTACCTGTTGAGATGAGTGAAGCTGAGAAACTGTGGACGAAATATGTTCAATGGCAAAATTTCTCAGAGGACATACAAAATATTCAAAATAATGTAAGAGTTGAATCAACAAGTAGAATTTTCAAACTATCACCGATTTTGGACAATGATGGCATTCTTCGTGTTAAAAGTAGGATTATCAATTCAAATGATCTGGCTGAAGATACTAAGTTCCCGATAATTTTAGACCCGAAAAACTACTACACGAAATTGTTGATATTTTACCATCATCTCAAAGCTCAGCATAACGGACAAGAATATGTGACAAATGAACTCAGACAGCGCTACTGGAT